GATGCTCTTCTTGATATATTGTACATTAGGTTTTATCCATCATTGAGTTTGCATATTAAATTGGGTCATTTCTTCTGGTGATACACAGTGGAAGACATCAGAATTATCTCTTTTTCATCATGATTGCAGAAAATGAACACATACTAAGCAGTTACATGTTCTTTTACCAAGGTATTGCTTGTCTTGCACTTCTCAGATTTTTATCCGATAAGAAAACTGAATTTGTGTGAGATTTATGCAAGCATTCATTTCAAATTCTTTATGGGAGAAACATCAAGTAAAGTGATTTAATTGTTCTTTAAGTAATTATGATTCATAATTATTTTCAATGAAACAAGCAAACAAAATAATTTAGCACATACATTTTGCATGGATTTTTATCATCTTAGTCAGCTTGTGGAAGTTCTACTTCTATCTCAGGACTGGAAAGGAAGCAGCTCATGGTGCAGGATATATTGGTTTTGTTCTCCAGTATCGATCTCTTTTCCTTGCTACAAGTGGGGCAAACGGCAGCTTCTCAGGAGTCAGAGCACCTAGAACTATACCAATGTGTGTGAAAAGGCTTCAGGTAAACTAGACATAAGTGCTCTCAGAGCTGGAAGGGCAGGAGAAGTCATGTTTAGTGTAATTTTGCATTTAAGTTAAAATTAGCCTTTCATTTTAACTTCCCCACTTTAAAACAGCTCAGTTGTGTCAGAACATGATGAGAACTCAGGTCTCCTTCAATCTCATTACTCACCATACCATAGGGTATATTTTGTTTTATTAACTTTATGAAATTGATTTACTACTCTTTTGAATGAAAATTTGAGGCATACATATGGAGGAGGTGAATTTGGAATTAAGATACACTTACACAGTCAAATTGCAAACCAAAAATTACCCCAGATGAGTAGGAAAGTTCAGGGGCTCTGTTCAGCCCATGTCATATACCAGTGAAATCTTTTCAGAGATTTCTATAATCCTGAATAAAACAGAGAGAAATATAAGCACCTGGAACTGATCTATAACATAGAGTCACCCCCAAATAGCTATTGCACATATGTTACTTCAACTTTGGGAAGTCTTGTCTTGGAGAACATATGGAAGGATGTGGGGCTAAATTGAAACCACTTCCTTCTAATTCTGTGTCCTCAAGTTCATAAATGGCCCTTCCTTGACTCTAATAGTCTCCTGTCAGTAGCAGTAGGAGTGACCAAGATACACTTGCCCTAGGTGCAAGAACATTATCATAAATTTATTTTTGTTCCTGACATGAAGAGAGTATCACAGTACCATCTATTTATTACTCAAATGATGTGTGAAATTAAGATAGACAGATCTGAAGGAAGGAGACATTTATAAATACTTAATTCAATATGCTTTGAAGTTAAAAATAATATATTCAGAATGTGCAAGTTATTTCCACTAATGATGCATGTGTGTGTGTGTGTGTTTGTGTGTGTGTGTGTGTGTGTGTGTTGTGCCTTTTTAATAGATATATTAACTACCAAGCTATTGTTACTAAATGTATCAACAAATTTGCCTTGTATTTTAAGTGGATATATAGTATATATATCTATAAATCATAATAATACATTTATGTTTGTAGATCTATAAATTTGTCTTGTACATACAAGACAATTCTAAATTGTGTACCATTCAAAGAAAATATTAGCTTAATAATAACTTTAAAATAGACATGACATATATAAATTATAAATAAATTGTATGATATTCTTCCTTTTAGAAACATGGAAGTGTGACTATGAGAGTCAAGGAAATAGGATGATTATTTTCTTGACTTCTGAGAAACATATTATGAGGAATTAGCCATGTGGTGGTTGTGTGGTATTTTGTAACTACTACTAGCAAGCTAACCTGGGACTCATCCTCCTCCTGCTGACTCTAGTCTGGGAGGGTATGTGATCTTTTTCCTTACTTTAAGGGAGTTACTAGTCTTGCTTGTTCAGTTGAGATACTTTAAACACAAACTAATAACCACTTTACTACTTGCTTCATTAAATTCTATTCTTAATAAAAAGGCAGAACAAAAATTCAGTTTTAAATTACTAAGCATTGCTAAATAGTACTATAATGAATATGAAAATATGCAGAAGTAATCACCTGAATCCTCAATAATTTCTTTAATTCTGCTTAATAATATTTTCTAAAATGATATTGAATTCATAATGTCAAAAAAATCTCACCTCTTTTCACTGTACTTTAAAAGCACTTAGAAAAATAAAATCTAATTTATAATACACAAAAGTATTCCAGTTACTCCTCTAACATCAGTATATATAAAAATCATAAATAGGAAATATCCAAATATAGAGAGTATAACAAATGATTGTTAAAAATTAGTAGTTTTATCATTTATTCATATTTTTGTGTTTGCTTTAATGATCTTAAGTATTGAAATATTTCTGATATAGTTAATGACATTAACTATTAAGATTTTCTCAATATTTCTCTCATCTACCCCATGTACATTAATAGATTCTGTGAATTCATTCCTGTAACTGTTTTATATAATCTTATTATCGTAATCTTATTTGTGTCCATTCAAAAATAATGTACAATGCTCTTTTGAATGTTTAAACTCTTAGGATTGAGAATACATTTTATGCAATAGTTTTCAGCTTTTATTCAACAACATATTGAAAATTTTTATATTAATATATGTAGAGCCTTCACATTCAGTTTAACTGCTACAGAGTGTCTCACTCTGAAATAATATAGGATATATTATCCATTTCCCTAGTGATGCGAATTAGGGCTTGAAACATAATTGAACAAACATCCTGAAATATGTCTTTTTTAAAAACTTGAATATATATTTGTTAGAAAAGATATAGCTGCATCAAAACTTGCACATCTTCAACTTGTTATATATTTCTAAATAAAACTCCAAGGTAGGTAAACTGTTTACATGCTAAACAACAATTAAAGGAAGTTTCATCTCTTCACATCCTTGTCAAGCCTTTGCTTGTCACATGTTTGTGTATCATATTCTATACAGCAACAAGAACAAAGCAAAATCATGCGAAGATTTTAATTTATAGTTCCATAACTGGTAAAGTTGGATATATGTTTTAGTTGTTAATAGGTCATTCATTTTTCAGTTTTATGAACTGCTTAGTCATATATTTTGCCTATATTCCTATATTTTTCTTTTATGTTCATATGTTTTTATGTTTGTTCTTTATCAGGGATAGTACTCCTTTGTCATTTACATTGCAAATATGTACTGCTCATCACTTAACTTTCTGTGAGTGTGCAGTTCTCTTTTGTTACTGGTTTTAGTATACCATGAAATATTTCAAACAGACTATATTATTTACAGCATTTGGAAAAATACTATTTTCAACATTTGTCATAAACATAAATTCTACCTCTCACAATGATGATAACATTTAGCATTTGCCTAGTAGCAAAGGTTAGCATTTATATGTTTAACAGAGTTTATTACTAATGCAATAAAGTAATTAATCAAGGCTGATTTAAAAGAGATAATCAGCAAACTGATTTTAAAGTGACTTGTTTAAAGTTGACTCTAATTTAAACAACTTAATACATTGTTAAAATGACAATATTTTTTAGTTAAGTACACATAATCTAACAGAGATGATGATGCAATTAAGCATCTGTGTTTTCAACATGCAAATAATTCCAGTGAGAACAAGTACTGGAATTATGATCAGCATCCATAATTAGTAATTAAAAATCATTTCTTTATTTTGATGAAGTTATGTTGGTTAAAAGTATTCCTCTTCAAAGAAAGCTGGTAGAATGCAGAGGTGAGCAGGACATCCTGGAAGCTAACTGCCTTGACGTCAATGCTGGCTCAGGCGCTGGCTCTTTGGGTGACATTGGTCAAGATAAGTGATCTTGTTCTTCCTCAGTTTCATCTTTTGTAGAATGAAAGCAATAACAACAGATTTTATTTTAATTTATTGTACCATTCTGAATGTTATTGAGAAATGTATGTACAAATACAGATGACAGCATTTGGCACAGAGAAGGCCCAATAGGAGAGTTATGGCATTGCTATTATTCCTATTGTCATGCCTTATTAATTGACACAAACTGAACACTCCTATCTCTAAACCAAAGCTATTAACAATGTGTTTTAAAGGTATATTCCATATTCTTTCCATACCTTAAATAGTAAATCCTCATTTTAAAGTGGTTTACCACCAAATTTATTAAACAAATAGCTAGACAAGATTCACTCTGCCTAAGATGTGGATTCAAAGTTATAACTACAGGCTAGGCTCAGTGGCTCAGCCTGTAATCCCAGCACTTTAGGATACTGAGGCAAATGAATTGCCTGAGCCCGTGAGTTTGAAATCAGTCCAGGAAACTTGGCAAGACCTCGTCTCTCCAACAAATAAAAAATTAGCTGGGCGTGGTAGCACACACCTGTAGCTCCGGCTACTTGGAGGGCTGAGGTGGAAGGATCGCCGGAGCTCAGCAGGTCAACATGCCACGGCAGTCCAGCCTGGGTGACAGAGTGAGACTCCACCTCAAAAACAAAACAAAACAAAACAAAAAAACAACAACAAAATTAGAAAACAAAATTATAACTACAAACTTTTATACTAAAAAAATCACCTAGAAACTTGTATGAAAGGCAAATCATTGGACTTATTCTACAAATTTTTATTTAGTATATTTGCCTTAAAATCTGAGAATCTATATTTCTAATAAACACTCTAGCTTGATAGGCAAGATCTTAATCTCATGTTTGAGTAGTACTGTGTACTAGTTAAACAATACTAATACAAAGCTTTTGGAAGTTACTTAGTTTTAGAAAGCATGTCTCTCTCATAATCTTTCCATGTTAAAAAAATATATCTACCAGCACCCCACTTGCTTAAGCAGTGTGGAAGATATTTGACGGATTCAGTTTAATTTAGAAGAATATCATTCCTCCAACATTGTGTTCACTTCCATGCCATTTACAAGTGTTGTATAATTTTCCTCAACAATCAGAACACAGACTTCCCTGCCAAATGAACAACCTCACAGCTGTGACAGATTTTCTGCTCCTGGGCTTTTCTGATATCCAGGAGCTGCAGTTGCTGCACGCCAGTCTGTTCCTGCTGATTTACCTCGCAGCACTTGTGGGAAACCTGCTCATCGTGCTGGTCACCACCTTGGACCAGTATCTGCACATGCCCATGTACTTCTTCCTGAAGAACCTTTCATTGGTGGATCTGTGCTACCTCTCAGTCACTGTACCCAAGTCCATCCACAACTCCCTCACTCATAGCAGCTCCATCTCTTATCTTGGCTGTGTGGCACAAGTCTATTTCTTCTTTGCTTTTGCATCTGCAGAGCTGGCCTTCCTCACTGTCATGTCCTATGACCGCTATATTGCCATCTGCCACCCACTCCACTATGGAGCTCTGATGACCTCAGGAAAATGCCACCAAATGGCGGCCATCGCCTGGCTAAGTTGCTTTTCCTATGCTGCTGTCCACACAGGCAACATGTTTTGGGAGCGCATTTCCAGATCCAACATGATCCACCAGTTCTTCTGTGACATCCCTCACGTGCTGGTCCTTGTTTCCTGTGAGGTTTTCTTTGCAGAGTTTGTGACCCTGGCTCTGAGCGCATGCTTGGTGCTGGGATGCTTTGTCCTTATGATGATCTCCTATTTCCAAATCTTCTCAACAGTATTCAGAATCCCTTCAGCAGAGAGTCGAGCAAAAGCCTTCTTCACCTGCTCCCCACAGCTGGTTGTCATCATGCTCTTTCTTACCACAGGGCTCTTTGAAGCCTTGGGACCAATTGCAAAAACGTCGCCCATTCAAGATCTTGCAATTGCTCTGGCATACACAGTCTTACCTCCCTTCCTGAATCCCATAATATATAGTCTTAGAAATAAGGAGCTCAAAACAGCTATGTGGAGATTATTTGGGAAGACTTATCTTCTGCAAAAGTAGAACTCCCTGCTTCACTGTAAAAGATCTATAACAAAAGACCAAAAAAAGCATAACTACTTTATGACCCACAAAAAAAATGAAAAAAATGTTGAAATAATGGAAAATGCTGAAAAAACTGTTGAATGGGAGAAAGAATATTTGCATGACTTTATTTAGATAGAAATGCAAATATTTCTTCAGAAAGTAGAAGTATAAAAGTACGTTCACTAAATATTTCAAAGCTGTGTAACTACAGTCTCCTGGGGTGATTCATTCTTTCTCATTCCGTAGTTTTTCAAACTCATTTAAATACCTCACATCGAACCTGTCGCTCTGCACCCATGCTACCTGGGATTTGTTGGAAGAGGTCATACATACACGCACATGAGCGTACACACACACACACACACACACACACACACACACACACACACACACACACACACACACACCCCTTATTATAGTATCTGATTTAGCTGGTCAACAAAAGAGACCATAAAACAAGCAGAATAGTTACACAGAACAGGAATACACGTTATTGTAGATTTTTGTCAAATATTTTAAGGATTTTTATTCACTCAGCTATTTCTATAAATCTGACAGGAAATTAAGCTAACTTTCATCAAGTTATCATTAAAATTATCATTTCTTCTCCTTTTACCTGTTATAATAATAATTTTTTTTTTGAGTTGAAGTCTCACTCTGTCGCCCAGACTGGAGTGCAGTGGCCGCTCCCGGCCACCCCAGCCTCGACCTGCTGTGCTCCTGCGATCCTTCCGCCTCAGCCTTCCAAGTAGCTGGAACAACAGGCATGCGCTACCACGCCCGGCTAATTTTTGATTTACTGTAGAGATGAGGTCTCGCCAAGTTGCCCAGGAGGGTCTCAAACCCGCAGGCTCAGGCAATCCACTCACCTCAGCCTCCCAAAACGCGGGATGACAGGCTGAGCCACCGAGCCCAGCTTATAATAATTATTACAATGGTTAAATCAAATAAGTTTACAGTTTTGGCTTTATGGAAGGCATTTGTCTAAATATTTTATATGTCTATATTCATTTATATCAACTCAATTAATCCTCACAATAACACTACAATGTTGGTTTTATCTATTTCACCCAGATTTCACAAAGGAGAAAACTGAGAAGTCAGGAACATACCCAAGTTTATGCAGTCAAAATTGTCACAAATTCCAAACTTCACATGTACATAAACCACTTATGTACCCAATCTTGACTTTTCCCCTACATCTTTAAAAGAGAAAAAGATTGTTACAAACAAGAATTGGTCTCAGGTAGTTTGATTATAGAATTCATAATGTTTTCTACAACTTTATATCACCTTAATTTGTGGAATAAATAAAATTGAATGTTCTCATGTTAATTTTATTTCTGAAATATATACCTACTTTTCATTTTTATTTTCATGTGCTTTTGGATTATTGATTCTTGTTGCTAGTATTATCTTTAGAATAACATCTATTTTATGGAAAAGGGTATCAAAGTTGTTGGCTTTATCTTATCTTTTTATTGCAAAAGTTATTACACACTCAAAGGATGATTCTTTTTACTCTCTAAAGCTTTTTAGGTAATTGTCTATTTCTGAAATGCTTGTTAGGTAACTAACTTGGGCATGAGGCTATTTTTGAAGATATTGGTAAAATTTTTCATTTCCTTTGTGATATTTGGCTAACCAAAGTTTTAAAAAGCTTTAAATTTTGAATATTGATAAGTTAATAAGAAATGGTCCATTTTAATCTGGATTTCTGAATGTATAGAAGCTACATTCATAATTTTGCTTCTAATAATTTAATATTCTTGCATAATTCATTGATCAGGTTTTCCAAATATGTGACTATTTTAACTCATATTTTACTTTATTGTCACATTAAAAAAATTTAGAAATGACTATGTCACTTCTTCATTTACTAATTTTTTGAAGTTTAGTTATAATTAATGAATAAGAATTATATTTACATTTATAACATACAATGTTAATGTTTTGATATATGTATATGTTGTGAAATGATTAAACGGAAGTGGCAGAGTTGTGGGAGGTCCTCGGTTGCCATGAGTACTGTCCCAGTCCTCAGCAGTACCTCTAGGTCCAGGGACAGGGCGCAGGGACAAGTAGTGGTGGGAGTGGGGGCTGGCAGTGTGTGCACACTCAGGTGCAGGGGTTGGCATAAGCCACAGACCAGGAATAACACCTATATTGGAAATCATATATCTGACAACTGACTTATATACAACCTTTAGAGAACTCTCAAGACTCAGTAATAGCAACACAGAGGATCTTATTTTCTCCGTGGGAAACACTCCTGAAGTCCTCTGCAGAGCAGGCTACTGGTGTCTGCCATGGCCAACACTGAGGGGTCTTTGGCAATGAAAAGTGAGGGGGTATGCTGTGCCTGGAAGGACTGTAAAGTTCCGCAGTAGAGAAGGCTGAGAGTTTTGTGAAGAGAAAGCCACTGGGATTTGAGGCACCTCCTACTGTGTGACTGATACTGACAGCCAGCTTACTTGACCAGAGCTGTCTCCAGATGTCTCAACTATTGTGACAATCTGGATGAAGTACACCTGAAGTTTGGGCAGTGCCCTGGAATGTTGGGGAGATGGTTGCTCACCAACTCTCCTTTTCCTTGCAAGAGGAACTTGTGATCAGGGGCCTCCCTGTCTGTGCTGAAAAGTGCTGGCCTGGGTGATGGAGGACATAAGCAAAATGAAACTGTGCTTCCCACTCTATTTGTGCAGTTATTCTGGTTTTTTCACTCTTCTGTACTGCTGTAGCAGAGTATTTTTATTCATGGATAGCTGTCCAAGTGTTGTTCTTTTGGGGAAAAACTAAGACTGAGATCTCCTCTGTGACCACTTTTACTGGAGGATTTTCAAAGTTATATATAATGGAAATCCACTGTTTTTAGTACATGTGAATTTCACCAACTGCATGGAATCATGCAATAAGAATTACTATCTAGATTCAGAACAGCTGATAAGCCCGCCGACTTCCTCATGTTTCCTTCTTGTAGCCAATCTCTCTCTTTACTTCAGCCCCTGGCATACCCTTCTCTATTATCTTTTTCTATAGTTTACCTTCCACAAAATGTTAGCTAAAAGGAATAATAGAAGTATCTGGTATTTTGAGTATGGAGCTTCCTCTCAGCAAAATATACTGTAGATTCAGCCATGTTTATTTGCATATAAACAATTTATTCCTTTGTACTACTGAGGAGTTTTTCATCTTAGGGTTTACCGCTGTTTATTTATTCATTCACTAGTTGTTTCCAATTTTTGGTAGTTATAAACATAGCTACTATAAACATTCAGGTACAGATTTTTATATGAACATAAGTTTTTAGTTCTCTTGAGTAAATATCTAGGGATATAATAGCCAAGCCTTACATCAAATGTATGTTTAACTCTCTAATAAATGAATGAAGTGTTCTCCAAAGTATCTTTAGCATTTTGCTTTCTGACCCACAATCTATGAGAGTTTCTGTTTCTCTGCATCCTTGTCAGCTCTTTGCATTGTCTATTTTTAATTTTTTGTTTTATTCCTTCTAATATATGTATTGATAGCTCATTGAGGCATTAACTTTCAGCTTCCTTATGATGAGTGATGCTAAATTTTTGTCTGTACTTACTTGTGAGATTTATGTGTTTTTTGTGAGCATCTATTTAGACATTTTGCTCATTTTTGGTTAGATCATCTGTTGTTGCTACTGAGTTTTGAGAGTTCTTTAAATATTTGGGATGTAAGTCACGTGTCAAATAGCTAATGTTTAAATATTATGCACAGTTCATGGCTTACTTTTTTGGGAGGTCTCACAGAGCAAAATTTTTAACTCAGATGAAGTTTAATTTAGCAAAATGTTCTTATATGTACTATTATTTTGATGGTATTCCTGAGAACTCTTTAAACAACCCAGATTCACAAATTTTTTTATACTGTTTAACTGAAGTATAGTGTTAGGTTTGACATCTAGTTCTATATTCTACGTTGAGTTCATTTTGTGTAGGATGCGAAGTGTCTAAGTTTTTTTTGTTTTGTTTTGTTGTTTTGTTTTTTGCATATCAACGTTCAATTCTTAGCACCAGTTGTTGAAAAGATAGTGAACTAGCTTTGCCTTTAGACAAAAAAGGAAAAAAGTATTTGTGAGGATCTAATTCTTGACTTTCTCTCTCTCTTTCATTTACGTATATGTCTATTCATTGGCCAAACTGACAGTAAGTCTTAAAATTAGGGAGTGTGAAGAGTGTGATCTTTTTTAAAAGAATGAAGATTGTTTTATATTGTTTTGCTTTTCATATGAATTTTAAAATTGGTTTTAACATAACCAATTTTTAAAAGCAAGTCTACAGTTATTTTTCTATTCAATATTTTATGCTTCCTTATACATTATTTCCTTAAAAATCTCCCACACAGAAATCTATTGACCTAGACAGAATTTCTCTATAAACATTTAACCAAAATGCTGTTTTCACCATATCTAGTGCTATTATTCTCAAAGATCTTGAAACATCAATTTTAGGATGTTTTCCTCTTTCATCTCACTGTATTATCTGGGAAAATGTTGTTACTTAAACCTCTGTTTAATCAGAACCTCTGGAGAACTGGAAATCACTTGACTTCTGAACATTAAGGAGATGAGCTCTTTTGCGAGTCAGATGTTTCAAGGTTTTTTGTTTGTTTAATGGCAGAAGTTTGGCCAAGTTTAAATAGGTGTAAATTCAGTACCCAGGAAAAGGAGAAGCCATGAAACATTTGAGTTTCAGTTTTCTCTTAAAGAGTTTTCTATAAATGCCCACCAACAAACAGACCTCAGCTTAGTCATATCAGGTATTGACTTGTCACATAAAACACCACAAATACTTTAGTGACCAACAGAGCATCTAGTGATGAGGAAGTTGTTGGCTCTGACATTAGTCCTTTGAGAATTGAAGGAAACCAGAGCATAAGCTGACAAGGTCCTTATGTTTCTTGGCTTGTAGTCAAGACACCAAGCCTATATTTCCTTTGTCTCC